AATGATGGAGTATAAACATTAACAAACCACCGTCCCAAGAAAGTACCTCGACAAGTAAGATAGCCTCATTTTTCTTAGTACCAAAATATATTACAAAAATTCTACAACCTTTCCCAAAGCAGTTATTGGGTAGTCAATTTTTTAATTTTAGACATTGTATTAATGTTAGTGCAATTTCTCCAACGATTAAATATCTGAAAATAAATATGCATTCGAAGTGACACGTTCCTGAGAGACAGGGCTGTGCAGCGGGACAAGCACCAGTTACTTGAACCACGTGCCGTGGCTCAAATTCCAGCTCTACCGTTTAATAGCCGTGTTGCCATGAGCAAGCTACCACACCTTCCAGTTCCTTTGTTCTCTCATCTATGAAATGGAGATAATAGTAGTACTTACCTCATAGTGTTGCTGTGAATTAATTTATGTCAACTGCTTAGAACAGCATCAACATACAGGAAGCATACAATCAACATTAGCAATTATTATAAGCTGTTATACTTGAAGCCAAAGTCCACACATTTGACTTTCAAGTATTGCTTTTGTGCAGGTGCAACATCCACCAGGGGTCTTTAAGTTCAGGTAAATGTTGAGACTCACAAGAATATCATAGGCTACACTTGGCACCAGTTTACCCACAAGTTTATGGGATAGGAATGATATCTTTCCAGGCAATATCAGGCTTTTCTCTCCACAGGAGCCCCATCAGCATTAGTTGGTATGGCAGTTCACACAGTTTGGGAAGCTATGCTTTCCCCAGGTGACAGCCCAGGTGCAAGGAGATGAGATCTACATCAATGGGAGGGAGCTTCGCTTCGGCTCAGCATCCTCATGCAAAGCATGTATCTGATAAAGGTCTGGATCCAGAATAGGGGGAGTTCAAGCCCTATAGTATGAGTGTAAGACATTCTGGTGTTCTGAAGTAATATAGATGAGAAACTAGAAAATTAAAAGAAGGAATAACTAACGTGTCTTTTTTTTAATATTCATCTTGGCTATCAATAATTACAATAGAATTTTGACAAGGACTTTCCAGCAGACATTCCATGTTGATGTAGTTGTGTAAAACTTACATCACAGGTATTTAATGTTAGTTTTTGTAAAAAGATTCAGATGTTCTCTGAACACTGGTCACATGGTCAAAAAGCTGACATTTTGTGAGGAAAAAGAAAATATCTTTTGTGTTGTTAAACTCTTCCTTTTCTGTAGTAAAGGTTGTAGACATATCTCTAAGTAGGACCGAGACTTTTGTCGGAAAACATTTTTAGAACTGGACAAATTTATACTGTAGCTTAACTGAAATCACAAAGTACATACCACAAAGCACAGAAGAGAAGCAACAATAAAATGAACTAAGATTCCTATAGACTGATAATATTGAGTAGGACTCTATTTAGATGACCATAATTTGCATTGTTTGCAAAATACATCTTGCGGTTAAAGAGCTAGCTTACTAATATAATCACTTTATGTTCATCTAGATTCTCAGCAAAAAGAGGCAGAACTTACCAATTTATGTTTAGACATAGACAATATTGAGAAAGTTATTGTGACATTAATAGATCAGCAAGCTGAGTTATTTTGAAGCCACACCAGTGTTGTAAGAACAAGTACAAGTCAACAGCATAGGAAAAGTAGCTATCTTCCTATTTACTATGGTAGGAGAGCAGATTTCCGATTTGTCAAGGACAGAGACCTTTAATTTAGGTCAAAATCCTCTTTGAAAAATTATTTAAAACCTTGTCCCCTTTTATGGAAAAGGGGTAGATAAGAAGCTGCTTATATGTACGTGCATGCAAATACTTACATAGAACCTCAGGAGGTTTGAGGGCCTTACAAGCCATTCTTGTTCTCAGTTGATAACCTTGATCAAGAACACTTCAACTAGATCAGAGAGGAATGTCACCAGGTGTTAGGGAAAATAGCTCCTTCTATGGTAAACATCTCAAGTTACATTTGCCTAGAAGAATTTTCGGTTGATGAAAATGATTTCCAATGGTAAGAGAATCTGTGGACCTGAGTTTTACAGGTTGCTTGGTTTACTCTACCAGACCTTTAGAGTAAATTAACATTCTTGTCTTGCACAGGTACGTTTGTGAAATTCAGAAAACTTTGTTCAATAAATTGAACACAGAGACCCTAAAGTGGTGCCTTACCTTACTCAAATTTGCCTTTGTTTTTACAAAGAAGATTCTATTGAAACCTTCCCTTGAAGAACCCTGGATTGGAGGATTTATGATAATTTTTGCAGACATGAAATTGTGCATTTATTCTCTATGAGTAGGCCTGAGCCACTGCTTGAGCCTCAGGCAAAATTCCCTACCATTTGCTAGGCTTGTCTATACCCATTGCTCGTGTGGCCTGTGATTTGGCTAATAGCAGAGAGTTATGCATACTAGCGCACATAGCTCTCAGACCTCAAAGATCCTCCTAGAATGTCTTACAAGCTTCCCTCATGAAATAACAGTATTCTTTCAGCAATTGTCCTAATCTGTCTGCAAAACTAGTCTTAGTGGGGGCCGGCCCGGTGGCGCAAGCGGTTAGGTGCGCGCGCTCCACTGAGGCCGCCTGGGGTTCGCCGGTTCAGATCCCGGGCGCGCACCGACGCACCATTTGTCAAGCCATGCTGTCGCGGCATCCCATATAAAGTGGAGGAAGATGGGCATGGATGTTAGCCCAGGGCCAGTCTTCCTCAGCAAAAAGAGGAGGATTGTCAGATGTTAGCTCAGGGCCAATCTTCCTCACACACACACACAAAAAAACTAGTCTTCATGTTCTCCTAGGGGGATAATTTGTCCTCTGGTTTTTCTGATCACTCAGAGGAGAAATTTTGCTACAGCCATTTAGGATTTTAAAATAAAAGGATAAGAGATCACAATGGCACAGACAGGGCTTTGCTGATTCAGTGAGGAAAGAAGACAATACAGTTTCCACATTTTAAGGCCTGGATTGATCTTAAACATTCTCTTTAGACTGGTTTATATATACCACTTATATGGAGAAATCAAAAGGAAAGGAAATAAATACAATCTATACATGACAAGTTTACAGAGTCAAAAAGAAGAGAAGAGAATGTTAGTTTTAGAGTGGGAACGCCAAAGGCCACTGGTGAAATCCCGAGAGACAGCAGTCCCTAGGACCTTCTTCCATAGAAGACTTTATGGTAGCACAGAGCTTTGGAGTAAACCAAGTATTTTCATGTTTGAGAGAGAAAATTACCAAGGATTCTCAATACTGTTTACATTATTTCATCGTTTAGAAAAACTTTCTTTTTCCTATGGTGAGATTGTAAACTACTTTGAGAATCTAACTGGCTCCAGGATGTTTTTAATGAAACTTGCTAATTATTAGAGGACAGATTTTAGCCTGCAATCTGTCCATAGAGTAACATTAATAACAAAGTGTGTTATTCTATTCAAAGTCTCGTTTTTTTTTTTAAGTTGTGTACAGATTCAGAAGCTCTAAGTATCCTCTGAAATACGCGTGAGTGCTTCATGAAATCCTGTTTAATGTTTACAAAACATTTGTCATTCCTGCCACATGCACAGATTTTACATTTCTGGCTTCAACAAGTAAAAAGACTTAAAGATGTGTAGTTGCCAAGTATTACTGCCTCTCAAACTACATATTTTTTGGTGTCACCTTTTCAGGAGTTAGAGCTTGGCATATAATGGAGCTAATTAAATTTTCTCCCTAGGAAGCAGCCAGCTAGACCGCTGCCCCAGGCACACAACCTCAGCTCACTACTTTCCTTCACTCATTTATTCTGTATGTGAGATGAGACTTCGAACTGCAAAGGCAGAAAACTCAGGCCAGGCAGCGGCTGATGAATTTTAGTAACTACAGAGCCAGTGTTTGAGTCTCAACTCTGACAGCACACGTCACAGGGAGGTGACAGTGGAGGCACATCTTTCTGTGTGAGTTGCCTGTGGATGACAATCTGCCAAACTAAACTAATGGAAGAGGCATTAGTTGTATAAACATGAACCAACTTGGCTCAGCTCTAAGGTATTTTGCAAGATTCTAGGAATATCACCCGTTTTCCCCTGAGATTGTTTTTGTGAACAACCCAGAAAACATAACAATTAAAAACAGAATCATGTGGGAAAAGGTTTCTTTTAGTAATTTCATTAGTGCAGCTTCAAAATTAAGCAATTTTGTCAGTCTTCGTAAGAAACAACAGAAATGATATTTAATAACAATCAAGTATTTGGCAGTCATTCTACTAGGTTCTTTACACATATTATTTAACTTTGATAAGCGTTTTTTTCCTATTTAATATCTGAAGAAGCTAGGAGGAAAACGGTTAGATGATTTGTCCAAGATATCAAATAGCAGACCTGAAATTTACACCCAACTTTATTTGACTGAAAAGCTTTGGCTTTATCTATTGTAACACACTGCATGACCCATTTAAAAGTTCTGTGTTTAAAAAAGAGACTCTTTTAGCTGGAATGATTTAGGAAATATTCATGAAAGTGAGTGGTATACATGAGTGTGTACACCTGAATGTGTGTATGATATTTATCTTAAACTATAAATTCCCTGAGATGGGAGAATTTTCCATTGCTGTTCTTATAAGTTTACTTATACATAATATAGCTTTTATTATGGATAGTCGTCTCCTATAGGAAGGGCTCAGTGTTACTCCTGGAAATTGGGAAATTCATTACAAAGAAAGCAGTGACCATCTGGACCTTGCGATATTATATAGAATTTATAGAATCCATTTCTCTGAAAACCAAGAGAAAGAAATTAATCTCTCTAAGTTATCACCTTAGAAGATGGAATATGGATCTATTTATGTATCAGATAAATAGATAAATAGATAAATGATCAAAAATAGATGGATTGATGTAGATAATTTACATAGATATATAAAATGGAGATTAACATTCATTTCTGGGATAAAAACAAAATATCACATTTCAATTTCTGTAACATTAACTCGTTTTAAATTCCTGATTACATTTTTGAATAATAGCTCTTTTTTCCCCCTACAGTTGGACAGCGTTACCTCCTTGATCCAAGCAGCCAAAAATTTAATGAACGCCGTAGTGCAAACAGTGAAAATGTCTTACATTGCCTCAACCAAGATCATCCGAATTCAGAGTCCTGCTGGGCCCCGGCACCCAGTTGTGATGTGGAGAATGAAGGCTCCTGCAAAAAAACCTTTGATTAAAAGAGAAAAGCCAGAGGAAACTTGTGCAGCTGTCAGACGAGGCTCAGCTAAGAAAAAAATCCACCCAGTGCAAGTCATGAGTGAATTTAGAGGAAGACATGTCTACTGAAACCATTGTTCTATTCTTGTGCCTATATTATAAAGTCCTGGCTAAGCACACTGCTTTATTTTTACACTTGATTAGTTCCATGAGTTCACTAACTTTTAGAGTTTAACCCACAAATAACGTAAAACATTGGAGGCTTAACCAACATTAGCAACATGTATTTGGGATCTTGTCATTGTCATCTCTATATGGCCAGCACCTAATAAGTAGTCACTATATGCTTGTTGAATGAATGAAAACTTCAGGTGTCATTCAGCCTTTCCCATCACAGAGAATTTCTCACATTCATTACCAAATGAACATAGGAGACTAAAGTGAGTCCTGTTCATGTGTAATAGCTTGTGTGCACTCAGTTTTCATTTTGAATTAAAACATTGACATGAGCTCTTGACTTGGTTTTCAATGGAAACAAAAAACTTCATGAAATCTTTTCCCATTTAATCTCCATATTTTCTTTACGTGACCTGATCTGACCTGACAGACGCTTGTGACTATAGGAAAAAAATGTCAATCTCTAGATATCTGTATCTATTGTCAACTGATTACGCTAACATTCAGCAGAAACTAACCAAGCTTGAGCAGTCAAGCTACTTCCTGGATTTTTAAGTCAGCCTTGATTATTAATGAAGCAATTTATTAACATTATAAGGTTACAATGAGCTTTGATGCCACAACATGCCTTTTAGGGTTCCATCGTGTTTAGCAGTTCTGCACAATGAGTGTTGAGTTTAAATGGATCCATCAGAATGCAAACATGGAGGAAGAGTTACCACCCACTTGGGAAATGAGACATCTAACTATATCCCCCAGTGAGTTATGATGACAGAAATGTAAGGAGTTCTGCATGACTCCAAAAACCCATTTGTATCAGCTTGCAATTATAATTAAACAGAAAAGGCCAGTTGGAAAAACCTTTTGGCATTGAGTAAAATATAACTGTGTGAATTGTACCATTGAACTATGAAGTAGAGTTAATGGCAATGAAACTGGAGTGACTTTAATAACATTCTTTTAAATAAAAGTCATTGAGGTCATTTTATAATTCCAGTCACTGTGCTCATCCCTAATTGAGTTCATAATGGACTTCACAGTAGTCTCAGAGTCCAGTGCATTGCTTCTCTCTCTCCCCTCTCTCTCTCTCTCTCTCTCTCTCACACACACACACACACACACACACACACACACTCATGCTCTCGCTCTTGCTCTGGCTCTTTGGAGTAGTTAAATTTCAGTTTCACTTTTTCTCATGCATAGAATTCCCATTCACAGGATTTTAAACATGCATTCTCTATTCTACTTTATCAAAATGATACTATAGTTGTAACTTCACTTTTTACGACATTGTCATTGATAAGTTGTTTCAACAACCATGCCATCTTATTTTGATGAAGTAGAATTCAAACACGCAGCACCTGTGGGTGTTCGGAGGACCAATTTGGGGAAAGGAATGTGTGAAACATAAAAATGCATAAAGGTTGAGATCATGATGTATACGATATCTTGAGCAAAACAGTATGGGGAAAGCATTTATTTAACAAGTCATTATAAATTATGGGGGAAATGTTAACTTCCTGTTATTGTAGTAAATTATTTCATTCTTCCAAAATTCTGGGTTGCCTGGGCTCAGCACATACACTTCCTAGGAGGTGAAAGCAGTAAGCTCCTCCCTGTCTTGCACTATGCACTGGCCCACAAAATTTTTCCGGACAGAGTCCACACCCTAAAAAGGAAGGCAGTGCAGAAAGGAATTATGAAATCCAGCTAATTCTATTTTCCAGAGCTATCTAGAGAATTGAGGCAAAATAAGGAGTTTCTTTTATTGAAATGCTACCATTATTTTCTGCTCTAAGTATACAATGCAAGAGTAACATCTATGACACATCCTTTTTTCAGTGTGAATTTATAATTTAGTTGAAAAAATAAATTTTTAAAAAATCACCAAACTGCTAGCTGTATATCTTAGTTCCGAAAGCCACATGCTCAAGAATCGGAAGAGTCTCATTTAGAAATTCTAATGTCCGTTTGATTCTACATCAGCTTTCCACAGGTTGGCGTTTAGAATGCTGCACTGGATGCCAAAAGAACAAAAACAACTTGAAATTATACAATTACCAAATAACCTCTATATCTTTAAAAAAATGACTCTTTACCCAAAACAAGATGTGAACAAGGCCTCCTCTTCAAAGTACGTGGATTTCCAGCTTAGCTCAAAGCAAACAACTATAATTAAACCAAACAATGTAAAAATTAACTTGGAGAATGTGCCAGGAGTAAAATCTGCTGTAGTAATCAAAGGTGCGATAAGAACCAGATGCACAGAGCTGAGAAAGACATCTGTCCTCCTGAGTGAATTCCTGTAGTGGGCGGCATTTCAAGATTTAGTTTGATTCAAACCTGCTAATAATATAAATGCTTATACACAAGAAAAATTAACAGCAAATATATTAACAAATCTTTGCGTTATAAAGCATAGTTAAATGAATCTAATCAGTAAGGAAGGATGTGGTGGATATATTTATATTGAAGCCCTTCTCCTGCAGGGGAATGGCAGAAATTTCTTAACGAGAGTGATAGCTTGGCCGCCCATCAACACATCTTCTGAAATCACATCACAGAGATTGGTGCTTCTTCTGATGATACATTTGCTTTATCCTGTTAATCAAAACTCACCTTTTTCTTTTAGTGAAATCAGTTTATGTTATTTTATGTAGGAAAAAAAATCCGTGAGAGGGAGAAGAGGGTTTATACAAACTACAAGGTCAGTTCCATCCTGGTTAGGCACCAGCCTCCCTGTCAAACATTAGCCTGAAATCAGAATGATAACCTAGAAAATATCCATGAAATTGTAATCCACTAAAGATTCTTCTAGTTAGAAAAATTGGAAAGTTTTCATCAAACAGGAAAGATGAGAAATATAAATCCCTCCCTTTTATTTATCACAAGTGGGAATTATTGGATTAAAATTTTTGTTTCTTTCTAATGGAGTTTCTGGGTACAAATTGATGAATGAGTCAGAAAAAAATTCAAACACTGAATTTCTAAGGTAAGTTGTTAATTATCCCCTTTCTGTTTGTCTTATGACATGAGTGAAAACTATGAATGTATCAGAAAATATAATATTCTTAAATGTGCCTTCTGGCCTTTGCAAATCTCTTAATTTATCATTATTAATATAACATAAATGTTCCCCATAAAATTTCTTCTGTTTAAGAGTAAGGACCTCCATAGCTACCCAGAAGACCAACTTTTCAGTCTGGCATTCTTGCACACTTAACACACACTTACCCTTCCAAGGAGGTCAGTTTTCAAATCTTACTACAGCAAGATAATTATGATTGTGAACCCACAGTTAAGTGCCCAATTTGGGCCTCAAACCCAGTAATTAGTGCCCCTTGAATTCAATGATAAGTAGCTGAAAAGACTAACGTCTGACAACAGAGAAAGTATTTTCAGTGGCTTTCTACACCTTCACTTTCCGGGTTGTCTTTTCATCTCACCCATCCCTGGGCTAGGTGTCCTCCTATTAACCGTTGACACTTTTCTACCAGGCTGATGCAGTCAGGCCAGCTCATCCCAGTCAATTACTCCAATTAATGTCCTTTCCTCTTAGATCATGCACCAAAAATATCCCTTTCCCATCTCTTGCCTCCTTAGGTGTCTAACCCACATATAAATGAATTAATATATCCTGTGGTGTTCTAGTTAAAATTATGAAATTTAATTCCCAGCAGAATTATTCCCTGTTTTTTTTTCTATTCCAGAAAACATTCTTATCCTTTCAGTGTCAAATGCACACTTCCATGCTAGGGATTGTGGTTCCCATGGATACAGATTTCTGTATAGTGGCAGAATGAATGGAATGAGATCTGAGGCTTTTCCTGGTGATGTTGACCATTCTCTGGTGTAGTCATCGCAGAATTGCCAGCCTGTTTCAGTATTGTAAATAATTCTCTAGGTCAACAAAGCAGGCATCAGAATATCAAGTTAAATGAATCTGAACTTTCTTTTGTCAGCCTGTATTCTGCCAAGACAGCCTGCTTATTGCGTATTTAGGAATCAAATAGCCATTTTTCTGTTTAGAAAGTCAGAAATATTTCTGTTTGAAATGATCAGAAAGTTTAGGGGCATCCAGTTAAGAGATTATAACTTGCATATTATTTCAATAAATCTTTTTATGTAAACTAGGAAAAATTCTGAAACCTGAAAAATTTATATTCATATATCATTTTCATTTACATATCACATACCAGGAAACTACACTTATTCAGATGAAAACCCCATAGTACTTCTTTTGTCATAACTCTCTTCCCATACCACTATGATATATCTTTAGTATTAGTATTTTTCATGTTACTACCAAATAAACATGCTAGGCCTAAAGATGGAAGCCTCTACATACAAAGTAGTTTAAAGTTTTCATTTTGGCCCTTTGGGTCTATTAGGAAAGAAAATGTGGATGTTATTAACACCAAGTGTAAACAACTAGAGATGTCCTAATCAAGACTGTAACACTATACTACACATCTACAAGAAGAGAGACAAGAAGAAGAATTAAAATTTTAAATACAATGTTTTTTTCCACTTTTAACCAATTTACATGAGCAAGAAACATTTTGTATTAAAGCACAAGAAAGAATAATTTACAACATTAATCATTTTACATGTGAACCTTTTCCCCCTACCAGGATGGATAGGATCTATTCCTAAATACTTCAAAAGAAGATGATTAGTACTAACTGAGAGAACCATTTCCAAATGGAACCCAACCTTACCAGAACCCCATTTATGGGCAATAGGTAGTTTGTAGGGCTGGCCTGTACATAGATCCTGGGATGAGATGTTTCATGGCTGCAGGCTGGCTTACGGCATCCAACAGTCCCCCTTGGTTTATGGGAGCAAAATACAAGGATTGACTTTCAAAATGAATTTGACAAGTTGGAGAAATTAGCAGTAAATACAGAGCAGTTCTAAAGGAACATGGGTAAGAAAGTGACAGAGGTATGAGAGAGAATAAGAAGGGCAGTTATAGAAACAGATAACTTTTATAGCCAGAGGGAAGAAGAGTGAAGATTAGGCAGCCTCCTGCTGAGGAAGATTTTAAGGCTAGGATGGGGCCCTTGTCTTTGGTGGTTTGGGTGACGTCATGGCAGAGGCAGGAGGATGAACTGTATAACTTTTGAGGATGATTTAGTAATATTGTTTACAAGATGAGAAGTGGGTATTTAGCCAGTTTTCTGACGATAGATGATGATGGATGAAATTCTTCCAAATGTCAGAACTAATCAATCAGGATAATCACACATTCATATATTTAACAAATAGTGTTGGGTAACTGTGATGTTCCAAGCACTGCTCTAAGTTCTTAAGATGCACCAGATAACAAAACGAACAGTGATCCTTGCCCTCATGTGCCAGCTCTGTGTTTAAATGCTATTACTTATTTAATTCTCTCAGTAACCCTATGTGACAGACTTTATTAGCTCCATTCAGTAGATAAGGAAACTGAGGCTTAAGCAGGATAAGAATCTTGCTCTAAAACTCACTGGCTTTAAAACTTGGTTTGTTGCATTCTAGAATCTGAACCACATCATCCAGACTTCCTGGAAAATGGGATTGGATTTTTCAGTTGAAAATAAGATACACATTTCAAATGCTAGCTGGCTTCCTATGTAAGAGCAAGAAGATCAAAACTTAAAAAAAATTATTATTAATCCCTACTTACATCACTCAAAGCAGGTAAAAGGCAGGTACATAAGTTATTAGCGGCATATTCTCACCTGTATAACCGAATGTAGAGTATCAGATATATGAGGAGTGAATATTTCATCCATGTAATCTGAAATAAGGTGCAAACTCTTGCCAAATTACTTTTGTTACCATAGAGGAGAAATCTTCAGTGGAAAGGCCTGTTTCCACCCATCTTAAGCGTTGATTGGTAAAAAACATTTGTTGGCATCATTTTTTTTCCATTTTTACTGCTAATGTGTGTCTGTGTATTTGGAGTTATAGATCTCAGGGGCGTGTTGGCCAAGGA